CACAAAGCAAGTCCTTTTTCATTATTCATTTGTGTAGAGGTTTAGGTCATGGATATTTCTGTCTTACAGGAGGAATCCCAAAAACTAGACATGTGTCACTCACTTTATAATCATTAATCAACATGTTTAAGAGATACTACAAAACAAATATGATAAATGAAAAATTAAGATATAAAAGGACGTTGACACTATGAAAGAAAGAGGTGATAATTCCTTGGAGGAGGGGGGGGGGGGATTCATTCTATTCATCAGTCAATATAGAATACAAAATACACAAATCAAATCAATCACAAGAAATTAGGGATACTATATATACATAAAAAGAAACTGACAGGTGATTTCATATCTTATATAAATACATGGTTTGGAAAGTGTTATCTCAGAATTGGACATATGCGAAAGTATTAAGGTATAAAAAAAAAACGGGCACCTAATCCATTTTGCACTAACTATAGCGTAGATTGGGCCCTAAATGAAATGTAGAGAGAGATGAGGTAATATGCTTTGGAATATTCGGAAAAGCGTATGGGAACCGAAGAGAAAAGAATATAGAAAGTGTCAAGATCGATGGCTAACTTTACTTGATAGGACTAACCAGGAAAGAGAGAGATGGATCGAATATCCAAAAGGGAGGGATTTAATTTGATGGACTGTTATTAGGAAATAAGAATCGAATGATGACGTAGCGATCCTCAGAATATTCGAAAGATCCCATCTTGGCTTCTTCTTTTAACCCCTCTCCCTCCCCCAAATCCATCTCTCCACAAATCAATCTTGTTTCTTTTCATCTCTGCTAATTCATTCAAAAAAAGTAAGTAAGAATGTCTCTCAAGGCCATCCATGTGTCGGAAGTGCCCAGCCTGGACCACTTCCCTGATAACCCGTCCCTCTGCTCGTCTCGTTTCAAGATCAAAGCTGGGTCTTTCAAGATCCCCACGTTTCTGGTGCTGGGACATAGAGGGCACGGCATGAACATGCTGCAGTCGCCGGATCCGAGATTCTCTGCTCTCAAGGAGAACTCAATCCTCTCCTTCAATGCCGCTTCAAAACTCCCTCTCGACTTCATCGAATTCGATGTTCAGGTT